CCCCAGAAGGGTCCTGGACATCTAATCGTATATCTATTGTTCAATTATTTAAGAAATCAATATTGGATATTGGAGGACGACAAGAGACATTCGGTTCTGGTATACTGTCTTCTATTCCACTTCTTACCTTATCTCCATCCCATAAGGAAACTTTGTTGCTTTCACCCACTTTTGAAGAGCTATCAATGGTGATTAAACAACTGCATCCACACAAGGCTCTCAACCCCGATGGGTTCACCCCATATTTTTATCAGCACTTTTGGGAGCAAGTTGATCCAGACATCTTTGAAATGACACTGAAATTCTTCAACACCGAATTCCTCCCCAAAGAGATCAACAATACAAATTTGGTCTTTGTACCAAAAAACAATCAGCCAGTGGATACTTTAAGTTTCTAGCCTATCAACCTATGCAATGTGCTTTACAAAATAATAACAAAATGGATGGCTACACGCTTCCAGCCCATCCTCTAAGAGCTGATCTCACCCTTCCAATCAGGATTTCTCAACGGAAGACAAATTTCAAATAGTGTTCTCTTGGTCAGAGAGATTCTTCACAAAATGAAACATAAAAAAAAGGCAAGGGTTTCATAGCTCTCAAATTGGACATGTCCAAAGCATTTGATTGGATGGGGTGGTCATTTTTATACCATGTTTTTCAGAAGATGAAATTTCAAATAAAATGGTGTGACATGGTGTACCAATGTATATCCACTGCTACTTTCTTAATCAAAATTGCAAGAGAATTATATGATCATTTCAAATTGAATCATGGAGTCCGACAAGGTAATCCCATTTCCCCTTACCTATTTATCATAGGCATGGAAGTCCTTACGCAAATGTTATGCCAAGCCTCCGCATCCGGACAATTTGAAGGAGTAAAAATCAGTCAAAATAGTTCTGAGTCACTTACCTCCTCTTTGCAGATGATTGTATTCTTTTTTGCAAGGCTGAAATAGCTCAGTTTAAGGTTCTTGTCAATATCCTACAATCCTTCGAAATCATATCTGGCCAAAAAATAAACTACTCCAAGTCAAGCATCTTTTTCAGCAGGAATGTACCTCGACACCATCGGAGATTCTTCTCCCATGTTCTCCATGTAAAGAAATCTTTATTATGATCCAAGTATCTTGGCATCCAAGTCGGTAAAGATACTTATTTATGTTGCTCTCATAAGGAGGTTATTGAAAGGGCACAGTAAAAAATCTGCTCTTGGAGTTCTAAATTGTTATCATAAGTTGGTAGAACTACATTAGTAAAATCTGTTCTACAAGCTATTCCTATATACCCCATGTCAACATCCATTTTGCCAAAGTCAACTACCTCATTACTTGATAAAATGGCAAGAGCCTTCTGGTGGGGTGATTATCATAAAACTTCTCATAATACCATTGCTTGGAGGAAGCATGTCAGCCAAAAAATCAAGGAGGCCTGGGCTTTAGATCATTTGGCACCATGAATCAAGCAATGTTTTGTAAACAGATATGGAGGCTATTATCCGATAGTCAAGGTTTATAGAGTAGACAAATCAAGTCCAGGTATTTTCCCATCCTCTATTTTCTCTGCAAAAAAAAAAGGCAAATGTAATTCACAATGGTGGCAACAAGCCTGTTGGATGGCATTACTGCTAAGATCCAACCTACTATGGTCAATCAAAGATGGTACGACAATATCAGTTTACTTCGACCCTTGGATACCTACATTGCCATGTCATGTACCATCATCAACCTCATCACCCCAACAATCCCAACGGCCTGAATTAAAAGTCTTATAATTAATTAATCCTGATGGGTCTTAGAACCTCCTTCGGTTACAAGAATGTTTCCAAGCTTCCACTATCCAACACATACTGGCAGTTACTCTAGAGCCTAGCCAAACCAACGACCTGCTAGTTTGGAAACACGATGCTTCAGGTATTTTCTCAGTTAAATCAACTTACCAGTTTTTCATATCATTTGGGACTTCAGTGTCATCCACATATTTCAACTATAAATTAATATGGAAGTTTAAGGTGTCTTATAGATTCCAAAATTTTCTTTGGAAGGTTCTTTGGGATGGCTTGCTTGCAAAATATAAATGTTCATCCTAGATTAATGAACAAGACCGGCATTGTGTTTTTTGCAAGCTGCAAGAAGACACAATCCATCACCTATTTTTTGAGTGCCTGTTTGCACGGGCTATTTGGTATGGTGCACAAATTGGATTGAATCCCTCCAATATAACTCAACATCCAATACACACTATCATCACTAGCTGGTCTACGGTGCTGAGTGCAACGATGGGTAGGCAACAAGCAATAATAAGTCTAAACAGATTTGCTTTGATCATTTATCATATATGGGAAGCAATAAGAAAATATTTGAGAATATCAGCCTAGATCCGATGCAAGTGGTTAAATTAGCACTAACATTCAAGCTAGAGTACCCAACAAACAGGACCAGACCACTTCAATCAACCACTACCTTCTAATAATATACCATATTTATTTACTGATGGCTCTTATGATCCAGTTTCAGGTGCTGCAAGATGAGCTTTATCATTCGACATGTCATTGAATGATATACCATTGTAGAAGGTGGACATTCATGGGCTCTCACAAGCTACGATGCTGAAATTTGAGCCTTGTTAAGAAGGTTACAAATGGCCCATTTCTAATGGCATTACTCATCTTTTGGTTTATACAAATAGTGCCGCCCTAGTAGAATTTGCAAAAACAAATCGAGTTGCCCACTGGATTGAACAGATACATAGAAACCATTTGAGACGACTTATAGCCTCTTTTGATTATATTTATATTGTACATATTTTAAGACAAGATAACCAGACAACACATCTTTTTGCTTACTTTTCATGTAAGGGAAATCAGGGTGCACTACAACACGAGACAATCACCTCATGTAACTTTTTCTATATGAATATATCCTTCTCCTTTTGATTAAAAAAAAAAGATTTGTGCTAAGTTGTAAAGATTAACCAGTGAGAATTCATCAAAAATAATTGGTGGTATTGATTGGTGAAAATGAACAGAATTAAGTGCAGACAATCCATTTAATTCCACCTTGAGCACTAGCTTGAGGCTTATTCGCACTATATCTCACCTTATTATTGATGTTGCCATTCATAATCGTTACATGTGGTGTAGGTTATTAGTCAAAAGTGCAAGAGACACAAATTTATCTTAGGAGTCTGGATTTGTTCGCCGCACCAACCTCATAGCATATTCCTGTCACATATCAGGAACATCTCCCATACTTATATGTTATTATTCATGGACAATGTTCCTAATACACGGTGGGATGTGGCTGTGAGGAGTGCTCTGTAAGAAGCAGATCCCAATTCTTACCTTAAATGTATATTTATTTTATGATTATTAGTGTAAAAGCACATGCCATACACCTATGCAAATAGTGATAAAAGATGTAAACTAACAATATATTATCAATTTAATTTTTATGATCTTCATCAAAACCAAAACAAGTGTATTTTATAATAATATCAACAGTACTCAGAATATAATATCAATTCCTAACTAATAAGTAATAACCAAAGCTAGTTGTGAGAACCTGAGAGGGCATAATTGGATCAGGCTTTCATCAAAATTTGAATGTCAAAGCAATGCAAAATGCTAACTCAGACCAACCCGAGTCACACCACTTTATAACCATTAACCAAGATTGATGATCCAATTACTGAGAAGTCTGAGATGGTCACTTCCTCCAAAACTGCTGAAGCTACTATTGTTTGTTCTAGCATTGGCTCTGATTTTCTAGTTTCTACCATTCGAAAGGAGATGTAATCAATTAATCACCGAGTTTTTCATGAATGGAATTGCCTTCGGGCTTTCATAGCTAAAGGCTATTCTTGATAAGGTTTATAACTCTCATATGCATCCTTATCCATAGGTGTTCATAAAAAATCATTGTGTTCTAGGTTTTGATTAGTCAAAGTTTAAAGTCACATTACAGGGTGTTAGAGGGAGATTCAAAATTTCAAGAATCTCTTTCCTCCCTCTCTTGTTTTTTAGTTTTGTCTTTTCCTCTTCCCACTCTTGAAGTGCATGGGAAAGACTCATTGTCCCGCATTGCTCGGGAAAGGAGTAGAGGTAAAATATATCTATACTTTTGCTCTCCCTATGGGTAGAGACCCAAGGAGGAAAGCACTGTAGATATCCAATGCATGTTGGGGGCTTGGAGGTGCTTTTTACATGCGTGCATCGAGCCGGGTTGGGGTGTGGGCAAGGGCGCGGGTACATGTGCGTGCATGTGTGCATGATGCACCAAATTGGTTTTGCTTTTATTGGTTTAATTATGACTATATAAATTTCGAATTTAATTTTAAACGTTTTCTTCTTCGTGTCTCTTCAAACAGATTTGTGTCTCTTTCCTTTCTGTGTCTTTTCGAACAAGTGCACTATTCTGAAGAGGCACTTGTGTGAATACTCTATAAAAGGAGTGTTGGTCGACCTAGTCTTGACACACCAACATTTTCGACAGTCTTCTTCTCTGTATTCTCTGCAAATATGAGCATCATCTCTCTATGGTTTGCGGAGGTCTAGTAAGCAAATCCATGTCTACCTGTGGCCTGTGGGCTATTTTTTCTTGACGACCAATTTGCTATCACCTAGTTGCACCTAGGGCCTTAGGGGCAAATGCGGTTTTAAGGAGCGTGATCAAGTGGCATGACTCAACCCTCATTCTCTTGGTTTCGCAGTTCTGCAACACCATACACCTACAATCTCTCAGTTTAGAAAGTGATTACCGATAAATTTCATATGCCTTCTTTATTATTTTCCAAGATAGGGTCACGAGATGGATCCATTGATCTAGAACGTTCCTACGTAAAAATAAGCTTAGTGGAAAAGCCTCTCTCTCCCACGTAATAATAAACTTCATGGGGAAGCTACTCTCTCTCTCTTTCCTTCTTGCTTTCATTGTAATGTCTTGGAGAATTAATCACTTCATGGAATAGCCCTTTTCTGGCCGAAAGGATTTTGTGGATTTCCTAGTAAACATTACCAGGTTTTACGAATTGGGCCCATCTCATAAAGTCAAAATCCGCTCGTGAAAGCTCTCCCAAACGGGCACAGGGTTTGATCCACGGAACTCGGTAGACAGTAGCTGCCATCTCTATGTGTAGATAAGTAGATATTACCATGCCTCGCTTGACTAAATCCTGTCTAAGAGGATTTGTACAGTGAGTCAGTGAGGAATTAATCACTGTGATTTGGGAGTGGATCATTTAGTGACATCTTAGCTTTGTGCCATCTGCCCATTTAGCTTTGTGCCATCTGCCCATAACACTTGAGAGGACCGGCAGCACAAACCTATAATATGCTAGCGCCTGTGATTTATAGGGTAATTCTTGAGAAATTAAGGCTCATTTTAGGAATACAAATGCAAATATATAGTGTAAAACCTTATATTTTATATTATTTTGTATATATTTGTATTGTATATATTTACATTTATATTCTTTTCAAATTGAGCCTAAATTATTTAAACCTCCCTTCCTACTTCAAATAAATATCCAAATGCACCCCTTTCCTAATCATCGTATAATAAAAAAAATTATAATACCGAAGAGATATGATACCGAAAAGGTTTTGACCCTACTTTTTTGATTGGTTATAAGTTTTTCGGGTATCATGTCATTCCGACATCATAGTTATACCCCTGTTCTAAGAAATACTAAAATTATGAGTTATGAGTTATGACTATGCCCTTATGATGAATTTGCATAGTAGACACCCTTGTTCACTCTCTAAATTACCTAGCTATTATGGCATTTTTGCTAACAAGGTGGATTCACTTTGTTTCTGCTTATATGAAGTTTCAAGAAGATTTGGCTATCTCTTCATCTCGGGTTATGGCTTTTCCTGGAGTTATGAAAACACTTTTGGGGACTTAACGAGTTCACTCTTCGAATCTATATTTTTACTTGGCTTGCACCACTCAAACCCTTCGTGCCTTGCATGCTTTCTCTCTTGCTTAGGTAATAAAGTGGAAAGGACTGCTGGTATTGTAAGGAGGTTGAGGGTTTGGAATACAATCCTTTTTAGTGCCCAATTATGAAGGCGGTTTGGTTTGGACCTTGTGTAGCAATATGCATCAAGGTTTTTAAAACTGAATCGGACAACGAATCAGTTGGGAGTTCGATTGTTCGAATTGAACGAATAGCCCGTTCTGACAAAAAAAATTAAAAAATTAAAAAATAAAAATAGTCAAAACCATTGAATGGTTCAAACAGTTTGAACGTTTCGAACAATCCAACTGCCCGGATCAACGATTTACTGATTAAATCAATTTTTTTGACAAAATTACGGTTTTAGAGAAAAAAGAACTGATCATCTGACCGGTTCCCGACTTTTCCGGTCCAACTATCTGATTCAGTTTGATTTTGAAAACCATGATACGCAGAAAGGATCATCCAACTTGAAAGTTAATTGACTGGTTGACTTTATGGTAGAGTTTAATGAAGGATTCGCAAAATGGGGAACTTTTCTTTTTCAGCGATTGTGCAATCATTGTTTGGTATATTTGGAAAGCTCGTTGCAAACATGTTATGGAAGGTCTCACCCCAAATCCAAGTTCTATAATCGATGCCACCCATTCCCAGATCAACATCTTGACTTTCTATATTTGAAAGGATAGGAGCCCCTCTATTTACAGGTCCTAACTTGCACCAATCTATCACCCATTGGACTCCTAGTGCCCCTTTACTAAAAATAAATGTAGACGGATCTCTTGGTGTTTTTCTGTTATGGGCCTGCACGTAGGATCTTGTCACGGGTCGGTTCACGGTGAGAAAGCCCTGCTTTCCTTTGCGTCTTCCCTTGCGTGCAGACCCTGTTATGGGAAATTGAATGGGTGATTTGTCCAAGAGACCACCCAAACTCTCCTCACTCTCTTTCTTGGCTGAAAAACTGAATGCCTTTATTTCAATTCGTAGCTCCTTAAATAGGAGATTACAAAAGGAAATTCCTAATTAAACTCAAACTCCAAATGGTAACACAACTCTTACTTAAGATAAGATAAGATAAAGATAAGGATAAGGGATGAGGAGTGGTGTAGTTGGCGGCGAGTTGGCAGGCAGAGCTGATGTGGTAAGATAAGTGTGGGCCCACCCTGATGAGCTGTCATGTGGGCCCTGCCCTACTGCTACTGTCGGGCGGTGCGCGCGTCTCGCGGTGTTGCTGCCGTGCGGTGCGTGCTGCGCGCTGCCGGGCGGTGTGTGCT